GCCCCCCCCCCCCCCAACATATCGGGAAAGCTTCGCTTGGCTGATCGGAACTATTTAGACGAGGAGAACTTTTGTCTTTCAGCGTGGATCAGTATGTACGAGGAGAACCAGAACTGGTAGTCTGCCTTCTGGAAGTTTCTGTGTAGGTGTGTCCTTTCTCTTTGCTATTTCAGCAGAAGGGGGGGATTCCCCCCCCCCAAAAGTGCTTAAGGGCCTACCTGCCTCATTAGCCTCTTTAAGCAGTGTGTCCTAAATAAATTGGAACAGTTTATTGTCGGAACAAACATCCATGCCCAGCTCCCACGGCTGAAAGCATTTTCGCTGTGGAGGCCGCTATTGCACTCTGGGGCGGCTTCTGCTTCCTGTCTTTGCTTCCCCACCACCACCACCTGCACGGAGAATTGATGCTTAAATTATGTACCTACAGTTTAATCCACAAGCTTCCCTATGTGATGGGGGGGCATTTTAAAATAAGCCCGAATGTTGTGATGGGTCTTTTCTTACCGAGGCGATTAAAGTGTGTTTACAACCCAAAAGGGTACTGCGAGACCAGCGTGTGCGTATCTGTGGTTATCTCCGTTATGTCTTTGCCACCACCTTTGAACGATGACCTTTTTAAAATTTTTGTATGTGTGTGTGCCTGCATGTATGTGTGTGCCCGTACCTGGAAGTCATGGCGACCTCTGGTGACTCCTCCTGGGGCACGGAGGACGTTGCGAAAAGTGGCACGATAGCCTGACTCTGCCTCCCGGCCCTGGTATTCCTTGGAGGTCTCCCGTCCAAACACTTGCCAGGGTCGGCTCAGCTTAGCTTCCATGATCTGACGAGATCGGGGCTTGCCCGGGTCCTTTGAACGATGACTTTCAAAGCTTAGTCCTTGACTTGAATGATTTTGATGCTACATAACATGAGAGAGAACCCCCACCCCTGAAAGAGGTTGCAGGCAGCTGCGTTAGCCCACCGTGAAAGCCACATAACCCTTTTTATTAGGACCGGCCAGAGTGACGCAAAACAACATGCCAGCCTCTGAATTCTCCAGAAGTCTTCATTTCTCTGGATGTCTGTGGGTTTGCTTCAAAGTGGGAGGGAACAAGACTGGGGAATTTCATATTACCCAGTTTCACCCGGTTTCAAGCCGGTAATGTTTTGAAGTGAACCGGTACAGGGCTGCCATTTCACACAGGGCTTTCCCCTTCCAGTAAAGAGCTGGATCTGAAGCAGTTTGCCATTTCAGACTGCACCGCTTTCCCCCCGCCGTTTTTTGCCCGCGTGGGTGATCTCCGGCTTTTTTTTTTAATGTTCACTTTATAGCGCTATAGCACTATAACAAAACACTCCAGGCATTCCAATGACGTTGATATACTGCTATTTCGTTATAGCGCTATAAAGCGAACGTTAAAAAAAAAAAGCCGGAGATTGCCCACACGGGCAAAAAACGGCGGGGGAAAAGCGCATCGGAACAGGGAGAGGAAATTGAGGACTACTTGGAAGCGGTTGACAGGTAAAACGCTTCAGCCCCGTTTCCTAAACGGGACAGAAGCGTTTGTGTGTGAAATGACAAATATATTCCAGAAGGGAACCGGTTCTCAAACGGTTCTGTCTGAAATGACAGACCAGAAACCGTTTGGGAACCGTTCCTCTTCCGGAATATATCTTCTGTCTGAAATTCCCCTGTGTCAGATTGGTGACGATCGGTAGCCGTGTAGAAAAGAGTCCAGGAGCAAGGCTCCCTCTAAGCTGTGGAGTCTTGTGAGCAGAAATTCTATTCTGTGAGCTACCGGCATTAAAGTTGCGAGCGAGCGGTTTGGCCGCTGCATAAATTAGTTTGCTCTGGAGCCCTCCTTCCTGAGACAAAAACGTGTGAGCCGGAGGCCAAAAGAACTGTGAGCTAGCTCACACTGACTCAGCTTAGAGGGAACACTGTCCAGGAGCACCTTAAAGTCTGGAGGCACCTTAACGACGAACAAGATTTGTGGCAGGGTAGGAGCTTGCGTGAGTCAGCTGTATCTGAAGAAGTGAGCAGTGATTCACAAAAACTCATACCCTGCCACAAATTTTGTTAATTTTTAAGGTGCTGCTGGACTCTTTTTCCATTGGGTTGTTGCCTCAGCCTTCTGAAAGCTGCAGACCGAAAGGTCGGTAGTTCAGCAGTTCGAGACCCGAGTGCCGCATGACAGAGTGAGCTCCCGTCTCTGGCCCCAGCTCCTGCCAACCTAGCAGTTCAAAAGCAAGAAATCACAAGTAGATAAATAGGTACCACTTCGGTGGGAAGGTAACAGCGTTCCGTGCGCCTTGGTGTTTAGTCATGCCGGCCAGATGACCACGGAAACGTCTTCGGACAGCGCTGGCTCTTTGGCTTGGAAACGGAGATGAGCACCGCACCCCTAGAGTCGGATTTCACTGGCTTTCGAGCAAGGGAGACCTTTATCTTTACCAACATTTTAAAAAAATCTGTACAGCCAGTCGAATCTTGCAGTGGCCCATCAGAAGCCTGCCTGGGCAAAAGCCCCACTTGGCCACGCCCACTTTCTAAAAATAACGCCAAGAAAGGTGTCGGCACCATGGCGCCCACGGGCCTTGTGTTGGGGACCCCTGACATAGTTCCCAATGGAAGCATCTCATTAAAATTATAAAATGCGGCAACTGACCTGTTTGATATTCCTGGACTCGCCTTGGTTGCTGGGGCAGAGTAGCGGCAAGATACCACTAGGAGCAGGTGTGATGTATTGTTCACTTAGAGAGGGTGTTACCACTGTGACTGAATGTTGCTCACATAATACTACTGTAGAACAAGTTTAGAGTCCAGTGGCACCTTTAAGACCAAGGTATGACCTTTCGTGTGCATGCAGTTTGGTGTAGTGGTTAAGTGTGCGGACTCAC